TGCACGGTGAGATGCCACTACACCTCTACACACGACATAAAATGTTCCTATCAATCGCAATTAGTGTAGTGAATAATTTTACTGCTTGGTTATTACAACGTTTTATTTCTTACCGTACAATAGTTTTCGCTGTCTGGCGTAGTTTTTTTTTACAGAATAAGGGTGACAAACGAGCACACAGTCCACATGATGTTAAGTGGATGTTGCGGCCTATAGACATATGTATCTATACTCGATTAAGAATCAAAATGCGGATGCGTTGTCACCCCTGAGGTTTGAGATGAAATGCCTAGTTACTGTTCTTTACACTCATCACTCACTATACAAATCACTGCAGCATTAAGCGTCTATTTCATGTTATCATTATAACTGCAGCATGGCTGCAAAAAGTTCACTTTACAAAACGAGAGAACAGGACTTTATCAGGTTAAAATGCAATTTGAAGGCGACTTTGTATAAACGCTCCGTTGCTTCTGACGGAAATATCTCCCTATATTAAAATTAAATTCTGAGCTGAATCTGAACACTGAAACTATTTTTTTTTTATAAGACTCTAATTTTTAACCGCAACTTTTGACTGTGAAACATTCAATAACGTATTTTATTTCTTAAGGAATCCTTTTATTCGCTCTAAAGCTAAGTATAGCCATATATATAAATAATGTAATATAATGTATACACATACAAAATAACGGTTCGTCATTTCAATAAGAAACTAAAACAGATGCTATCTTAGCAAATTATAAGAATTTATCGTACAAGTAATTGCAATTAACACAATATTTTTCAGAAAAAATTCTTTAAGAATTTAAATAAAACTAATTTTACGGATCTTTTCGCGTATATTAACTTATTTTATATCCAGCCCCCGTGGTCATGGGGGACTGAGGTGTTTGACGTCCTGCTGTCATAGTTAGCCCGGCTACCTTCAGTTTTTTAATATTAATTTTTGGTTCGATTTACGCAGACTGAGCTTACAGTATCTTGAAGTCTAGCAGTGGTATACTTGGGTTTAGATTTAATTTTATTAATTATGGGATCCCAAGCAGATGGCAGCACCCATCCATCTTCTCTATGAAATTAGGATGTTTTTTAATTTCAATAGCCTCGCGAATCATCCTTGGGAGGAATCGGTGTTCTTTTGCGGAGTTAATATACGCGAAAAAATCCGTAAAATTAGTTTCATTTAAATGTGTAGTGTTCGCGTAAATATAAGAAATTCTTTAAGAATGTTATCACATCATTCAAATCTTCGTTCCTTTTCAGAATAATTTACATAAATATTTTATTACTCTAAGGTTCACACCTTTTTAAGATACGTCATAGTTTTCAATAATATCTACTAGTATATGTCACAAAATAGTTTTCTAACATTAATTTAGCTTTAAGATATATGTACAAAAGGAGAAAAAACCTCTTGTGGTTTTTAGAAAGTATTTAAATTTAAAATATATTATTAAATAACTATGAAAATTCTTTAAAGAAAATAAATATTTCTCAGTAATCAGTAACTAATGATTTCTTATATTTACGATATGATTTGTTATACACATTGAATAAAACTACTTTTACGCTATGAGCGATGATACGTGAGCTAATTTCAATAGAGAGGGTGGCTGGGTACTACCACCTGCTTGGGATCTTGTAATCAATAAAATTAAAACTAAACCCAAGCACACCACTGCAAGACTTCAAGATACAGTAAGTTCATTCTGCGTAATTCGGACCAAAATTAATAATTAAAAAAGCTGAAGGTTCTCCGGGCGTCAATCATCTCAGTGGTGCTGTAAAGCACCCGAAACGTCGGGAATTAATAAAAATAAGTTAATTAAACGCGATAGAATCTGTAAAAGTAGTTCTATTCAATCAGTAACTCAATGATATAAAACATTCCTGGAACACAATAATCAGTAAGAAGTAAATAAAATACAAAATAAAACCATAATAGATATTATGTATGTTTTTATTTATCGTCATATTATTTATCATAATCTAATTTAATAATGGTAATACATATATTTTAGGGTAATAAAACAAGTTGATATAATTCATTTTTTTAATAGTTTAAAATAATTCATAGCACTGCCAATAATTCTCCCATAATAGCCATTAAGTCCGCCCTTTGTAATATTTTCTTTGATAAGATTGCAAATAAAGAATAAATAAATAAAAAGTAAAATAGATGTAGAATGTAAATTAAAACAACATTGCCTACTATCACCTTGTTAGAATTTTGACACATAGCAGCCACTCTTCACCACCGTTATTTCTTGTACTTAAGGAATTATCACAAGGAATCAAACAGTAGGTATATTAACCGATACGTCATCAGGCATAATCACTATGCCGATTAAAAGACTGCGCTGCACTTTAGTAGTGAGGGTTTAGTGTTATATCTACACTTCATTATAGCGCTTAATTTTCTTAAAAAAAGAACATTCTAAAAGAGGGTTTATTTACCATATCATAATTGCGAACAGTGACCGTTTAGTGGCGGTATAAGTTAAGCCACTACTCCACATTATCTCGTGAGTGTCGTGAGACGCGACAAAGAGAAACAAACCAGGCGTCTTTCTAATAACAACTTGAAGATAAAATATGCGGTTTCCCCCCTCCCCACGCCTGCCATGCGTGTCAGCTATGGCCAAGTATCCATCTATTATCAGAGGCACTCCTATATTCAGCAGTGGACTTTGAGGAGCTCTAATGAATGAAAAAATGTCATAACGTCTATTTATTTTTTTATTAAAAATGGGCTCACTCTTGCCCTCCATCTGGTCCGAGGCCAAAGATAAGGTCTATGATGGAGCGAGTTTGCCCAGGAGAAACCTGTTAACAACTTAAACAGGTTCAGGTTGTACGCAATCGGAACAACAGACCACGGCAGAGCATTCCTCTCCTTGGCTGTACGCATTATAAAAGATAATTTAAAGCGCTTAGTGCGAATATTCGGAATGTTAACCAAGTGTGGATGGTAACCTGCAGTACGTCTGGCACTCCGATAGGTGAATGGAGATGGCGGTATGAGCTTATGAAGCTCATAGGCACACTCCCCGAAGTACAATCTGTTGACGACAGACAAACAAGCAACTTGGCGGCGGTGAAGCTAAACTACGAAGTTAAATTTCCACCAGCTTTTTGTCACCGATAAGCATCTTGGCTTTGAGTTCCACTGAGTCGAGTGCGCCATGTTGATATTTTGCTGAAACATCCCAAAGGTGACTACAATACTCCATGCTTGTTCGGACTTTAGCTGTGTATAAAGTTAGAAGCTGTCCAGGCGTGAAGTATCGCTTCGCCTTGTTTAAAATACTCAGTTTTTTGGTCGCAGTTTGTACTTTCGACTCAATATTAGCACCAAAGTTGAGGTTAGCACTCAACTATGTGCCGAGAACCTCGAGATGATCAGTAACCTCTACATATGCACCTACGGAAAGTAGGAATCAGTTAACGGATTCAGTTTGCGGACAATGGACAGGCCTGCGTTTTGGCGGCGTTGAAAGCGACCAGATTGTCTTCACCCCATTGGGAAACAAGACTTAAAATAGATAAACATTTCATTTCCTTATTTAAGCAAAAATAACAGTTGAAGTAGTTACACTTAGCGTATTTTGGCGTCACGTCATATTAACGCTATCAAAGTTCTACAGTAGCATCGTCCTGGCTTTGCCTTTAAATGCAAAGCTAGAAATGGATTCTGCTTTAGCATTTCTTTATTATTTTAATTTGAAAGTTCATTCATTACGTTCGTTAATAAAAGTATAAAAAAAACTTTCTACAATTTAAAACAATAAAAATGTAGACATGATAGTTTAATTGCTTTTTGTAATGTTTTTTCACATTTTTTCCTATAGAATAAAGGTGACAAATGAGCACATAGTCCACCTGATGGTAAGTGCATACTGTGGTCCATAGATATGTACATTTATCCTCAATTAAGAATCAAAGTGACGGCTCCGTGGCACAGTTGCTTAGCAATGAATTGCAGCGCTGAGGGTCGCGGGTCCGAATCCCACACGGAACAATTATTTGTATGGAGCACAAATACTTGTTCCGGGTCTGGATGTTTGTCTTCGTGAAATTTATGTATGTAAACTGCCTCTACGATACAGGAGAAAATCTTAGTGTGGAGGTAACGTTTATCCAAAAAAAAAGTTGCAGACGCTTTGTCACTCCTGAGGTCTAAAATGAAATGCCTCGCATCCAATAAAAACTGCTATTTTATGTTGGTATTCTGTGAGAGCGTGATCTTAACCCGGTCGAGCCGACCTATTCATACTACAACATGGCTACAACCATAATATTAAGCTGTAGCGTGGCTATGAAATTTATAAAGCACAAGCTTAATCCATAAGATTATAAAGAAAAAAAATTGACAACTTAGGTAAACGAAAAAGAAGAGGCTTAGTTTACATTTGTAGTGAACATTTGTGCAAATAATTTAAATGAATTTGAACCTGCGCAATAACTCCAATAGCTATGGAGACAGATATAATACAACAAATTTCTACATACTTCATCATTATAGCCTTTCATAAGTCCACCGCTGAACATAGGCCTCCCCCAAGGAATGCCACACAGCACGATCCTGAGCCACCCGCATGCATCGACTTCCTGCATGTCTTACCAGGTCGTCACTCCATTTAGTGGGGGGTCGCCCTACACTTCGCCTACCGCTACGAGGCTACCACTCGAGAACCTTTTTTTCTACATACTTACAGTATAAAAATTTTTATAAATGGCACTGAAACAAAATGTATCTGTTTTGATTATTAAATAACACTCACGATCAGTTCAGTGGGTGAGGGGCGAGAGCATGATAACAAAAAAAAATTTAAACATGCTTTATGAATCTCGGTGGTAGAGGAAATTACACTCTTAAGAAAACGAGGCGATAGGACATTTATAGGCGGGAACTTTTTTTTTTCAATTAGCTGCTAAACATTTAATAGAGATATTCATAATGTAAATAAAATTTAATGATATTATTTTACTTACAGTTAAACCGAAAGAAACGGACGCTACCGGAGAACAGACAGGAGTTAAACGGCTACATTGCAAACTCAGCAGTCTATGTTACATCAATTAACGAAAATGGCGCTATAGAAAGCAAACCTACGATATCCTCACCAAAATCACAGCCGAAATCGCTTCAGGCAAAGCCCGCGCCCGTTATAGCGAACGGTGTTGCGGAGAATAAGAAAGAGGTAGAAGTTAAGGAAGAGAAAGACGAACCGGAGAAACACGTAAAGGATTCAAGTGAAAAATTGAAGATTAAAGTGGAGTGTGAAGTGAAAATAGAAAGTGAAGTGGCTAGTGCGAAAGATGTTGTCAAAAGTGACGCGTTGAGTGTTGCGAGGGAGCATTTAAGCAACGGTAGATGTGAGAAACTGCTGGGTGAACAGCCTGATCACAGAATACGGGCTACAGCTATCATTGAAAACAATAAATTAGGACCAGGAGAGAATAGGTGAGTCCATATGCATGTAAATTATAATATTATTGTCTCAGTAACTCAGTATAAATTTATTCCAAATGAACTATAGCTATGATGAAGTACATCTGCCGCCATATTGAAAAATACTTGAAGGGGAAACAAACTTGAAGGTAAGACGCGTAAGCCGTCGTCTGACTATTTAATAATTCAGAATATGAATTTTAAATGAGAAACTTAATTGGTTTTTATCTAAATTTAACATTTTGAATAAACTAAACGTTGATCGCCATGAAGAAAATTTAAGCGTCATATTTTATTTAGCAACAGTAAACGAAAATCATGCTCTTTATTGTATACAACATCACCAGGTCGTGCACTAGGCAGTCCATAGCTGAACATAGGCTTCCTCGAAGGAATGCCACTAAGGACGGCCATGAGCCATCTGAATCCATTGAATTGTTGCATCTTTTACCAGGGCGTCACTTCATCTAGTGAGGGGCCGGCCTATACTTCGTTGACCACCAAATTAGATGGGATTTTAGTAAACCATTGGTTTATAAAAAGTAAACAAAAACTATTTACTATCACTACTGCAGACAGTGGTTTAGCAATAATTATTGCAATAAAATTGCAGACAGCTTTGTACCAGAAACTAGTCCTTAATCAAAGTTTACTTATTTAGTATTACTTTCCATTTAATATTAAATTAATTTACTTTAGCGCTTTAATCTATTTTTAGAATGAGAAGTAAACCAAGATCATGACGTTCTCCTACCAATTTCAGCTTTACGTAATTTCGTATCAAATATCAAAAATGTTTTAATCAGTTTTGGTTTATTTGAAGCTCGAATTAATGTACCTACTTTCGATTTTGAAATAGGCCGGCCACATACATACGGAATTCCGTTTTGGGATTCCGTTTCGGAATTCCGAACGGGTCGGCCACACACATACGGAATCCCGTTTTGCCCGCAAAATTTCGAACGGAAAACTACCGTACGTGTGTGACGGGTCATTAGATTTTATATGGACTTGCTTCGTTCGGAATTCTGAATCGGAATATCGAAACGGAATTCCGTATATATGTAACGGGCCATAACGGGTTTCTTTTAAGCTCAGGGGGTTATTTGCATGCTTTCAAGACAAAAATAACCATTTTAAAAATTTTGTTTGTCTGTCTGTCTGTTCGGGTTAACCTTTGGAATGCCTTAACCGATTGTGACTAACCTTTACTAACAGATAGAAAGCAATGCCAGGAAGGATCTAGGGTATGTTTTATTCGAAAAACTGGAAGATATATTTTTTGTTTTCGAAAAAAGTAAATAATGATAAAATAAATGGTCAACTTAAATCTCAATAACATCACATTAATAGATCTTTTTTATTATCTTATTTAATTTTATTTCTTTGTCTTTATCCTTTTAGTCAATTTCATTTATATCGTTACACATGGGACCTAAATAAAATGAAGGAATTTGTCATCTATTTATTTTCCATCCATTCTTCATCAAATTTAAGTTGTATCAGGAAGCTGATGCTGCCTCTATTCCTACTGTCGCCCCGATGACACACTCGCTCGCGGAATGAAAATGGATACTGCGATTCGTATGCACCACTAAATTCCAATGATACTATAAGCCCCTTTGAAATTGGATGATTTTGCCATTATAGTCACTTTTGGTGTATGAATAAGTAATCAATATACAAGGTCTATGTTGGCAGAGCGAAGGCGAGTACCAACATATGGACAGAACATTTTGCCTAGCCTCGCCATTGATCGTTGTCGCTCGCCTAGCTGGCCGAGAGCAGGTGAGAGCCAACGTGCATACGGTTTGTTTTGCGTGCCTTGCAACCACTCCGGATCGCGCGCCATGACTCGTCTCGATTCGGAACAGTGTAGGTTTTTCTGCACAAATCAAGGGTGCTCGTCTGCACTCGGCAAGTCGCGTCCACATGTTAGTTGGCCATGTCAGTGTGTTTTCTACGTGATAGAGCCATGCTGCAGCTATATTAGTAGTGTAGTTGTAGCATGAATAGTTCGACTCGACCGGGGAACGACCACGCTCTCACAGAATACCAACTGCTGTTATGTTTCGTATGGTGAGTGTGGAGAACCGGAGACCATTTTTACTGGAAAAGAGGCATTCCATCTTAGTCCTCACGGCTGACAACGCATCTGCATTTTGATTCGCAAACGAGGATAGATGTAGATGTCTATGTGTCACAACAACCATGTACCTACCATCAGGTGGACTGATTGCTCGTTTGTCACATTTATTCTATAAAAAAAATGTTCACTCATTCAAACTTGGCCAACTTGTAGACTGTAGCACTCACCTTGTATCAATTAGCCCACGCTCGCGTTGGCTGAGGATTGGCCAACATGTATTGCCAGCTTTATTGTAGTATACCTATCGCATAATCAGCAACTTCGAGAGTTATCCTGCTTTGCTAATAAGAGAGATTAGAGATTAAATTTCTTACATCACTATCACTGTAATGTTAGTTTAAAAATATATAAAATCTGAAGAAACTTCTTGATTTGTTCAAATAAAAAATCTATTAGAACAGCTCCTATGTACCAAGCCACGCCTTCTAAACTAGATTAAGGCGACACCGCGAAAAAATGCACCTCCTTTTATCGAATAGTATAGGAGTATGACACGACTAACGAAACTGGAATTTTGATATAGGTAAATTCATGTATTTATCTTAAGTTTGCTTGCTCAAAAACACGATTGTAAAATTTTGACTCGATCATAATAATTTGCGAAAACACCTCTAAAAAATCACTATAGTTGAAATTACAACGAAATTACTTAATCTATATGCTTGGAAACCACTCGAATACATTCATATCATCAATATTCGTAATGTACTTGCTCATTATTTTGATTGCTAAAATCAATAATTTGTTAAAAATATTTTAAGATTCTACGCGATTTCTAAGCGGTTTTAATTGTCGCGGGCGCTACGCAATTTTAGACGGCCTTATGACGGCGTTTTTGAAGTTTTTATAGAAATTATGTTTTACTCTGGTTAGTCCGGCGATAGCCCGCTTCAACGGTTTTCGATGTGTCGCCTTAAAGTCTTAAAAATGAAACTCGAAAAATCTGTCGTAATAAATATTAGGTATAATCAACGTTTAACTTCCAATAGCTTAATTTTTTTTTATGGATTTTTTATTTGTTTTTGGAAGACGTAAAAGAACGTGCTCTCGAGCACGAGTGTTCTGCATATGTATGTAACTTGTCTAAGCTTGTCACACACTTTCAAAAATATATCAGAACAGCTGTTAACATTGCTTTAAACTTTTTACTATTCTCAACGCTATCATGAAAGCAATAAGGGACATAGTGGTTTTGACAAGTTAGATATTACTTTTAATACCTTTTCCTCGGAATAAAACAGCTTTTGTCGAATTTTCCTTTTCTAGGTGCATTATAATAAGAGTTTAGCATCGTATCTTGCTTATAAACACATATTGTATGCAAAAGTACGTATTTCTAAACCAAACGAAATTTTCCGTTTATTCATTACAGCCTGACGCTGAATATTGCCATATTTGCCATATATTTCCATGGTAGCGCTTGGAAAGCGAGTTGATCACCGCCGTATTTTTTATTACTATTAGTAGTTATCAGTAACATGCTGCTGCCCATCTCATGTTTTAGTATCCGTCTGTCTCCTCTTACGACACCCACGAGATGATATGGGGTAGTGGAATATCCACTTACACTGCCACTATGTAGTTAGGTTACTACTAACAATGATATTAATAGTTTCATAATATAATTGTAGGTCATATAGGTCGAAGAACCGACAACCGATGGGAGAAAATATTCTCGAGTTTCAGTCTCGTGGAGTCTCAATAGATGGAGTGGCGACCTGGTAGGAGATGCAGGAAGTCTATGAATGCAGGTGGTCTAGGACCAGATAGTGGTTGTGGCGGTCCTTTCGGGACGCCTATATTCGGCTGTGGACTTATGATGGGCTGTTGATGATTATTATTATAACAATAAAGAATTTTTTTCTTTGACATCACAAATAAAGCCGACTAAACCTAGGTTGTTTTAAAATACAAGTTGTATGGTGTGCTCCACAAATACGCCAGAGAAATATTTTGCTAAGTTGATTGTAGATTCTAGCATATACCAGAAGTCAAGATGCGATCTGAATCCTATACATGGTAGAGCCATGTTGCAGAGTATTATGGTTGTAGCGCGAACGGGTCGACTCGACCGGAGTAGGACCATGCTCTCACAGAATACCAGCGTAAAATAGCAGCTTAATGCTGCTGTGTTTCGTATGGTGAGCGTAGAGAACCGTAGAACTTTTTTACTGGAAACGAGGCATTCCATCTTGGTCCTCAGGGGTTATAACTAACTATGTATGATTTTAACTGAGGATAATTGTAAATGTCTATCCTATCAACATCATCATCATCACAGCCCATCACGAGTCCACTGCTGAACATAGACCTCTCCCAAGTAATGCCACAAAGCAAGGTCCTGAGTCACCTACATCCATCGACTTCCTGCATGTATTACCAGATTGTTACGCCATCTAGTGGGGGGATAGTAATATAATATAATATAGATGTCACTTACCATCAGGTGGACTGTGTGCTCGTTTGTCATCCTTATTCTATAAAAAAATAATGTCCCAATGCCCAAAGATGATAGAAGAAAACTATCAACTGGTAATTTGAAATTTCTATCAAATCTTGTCCTTTTATTAGAAAGTTTATAAACATATAATTTCGATTGTATAGTTCATTGAAAATGTATGGTAGCCCATGTAAATATGTGTTTCCTTTGCACCCGTTGTATTCCTACATCTAGGTATATTGAGGCTTTTCCTTTCTTATTGTAGTGTTTTTGTGCCCATGCGATTCCGCTAAGTAGATTGTAGATTCTAGCATATACCAGAAGTGTAACTCACGAAGACATCGTGAAGATGCGATCAGAAGTGCTATATGATTACTTCCGTGTTAACGGATTCACACATTTTCAAAATCTAGCGTGACAGGT